CATTTGTTGACCAAAAACTCCCCTCCTCTTCTTCTCTCCTCTTCATCCTGCTCTCATGTCTTCCTGCTGCAGTTGTTGTCTGATAGTTTGCTCCCCTTTCTCTTGGCCAGGGGCCAACAGAGTGTTGTGGGACATCAATATTAGCCAGGGCCTCCTGGTTAAAAGCATGCTCGAGGTACAAAGTTGAACTGCGTACGACTACCTCGCTGTAAGGTAGCTATCTGTAATGGGTCCTGTACAGGGAGTTCTTCTCCAGTGCCTTCCCCCGGCTGCCCACAGGCTACTATGAAGCATTGTGGGAAATAAGGCCAAGGCCCAAGGTTTATTCTCTCACTCTCTGCACAAGGATGTGAGTTGTTGTTTTCTTCTCTGACTCTTGCTGCGGTAGCTCCATAGTATCTATCCTAAAAGAAATCCACTATTGGCTTTTGAAGACTGAGCACAGTATCTGGGCCCAGTGGTTCCAGAACCGCTAACCGTGTCCCTCCTGCCAAGACTGACACATGCTCCGAGTGTACAGTGGGCTCAATAACCAGCAGTGCGGCGTATCGACCACATGGCAAATGTCACTGGTCCATTTACTGGGGTTCATTGTTAGAGACAGCTGTCTATCGGCCTATGGGAAATCCATGGAGCTTTATCCGGCTCAGACTTCTACAGGAGCCGTTTCACACTGCTGAGCCAGAAAATACCCACGTAAGACGAGACGGACGCTGGAGCCCCGGTTCCACGTTTCGGGAGTATTGATGGCATCACATCATGCAGACCCATTTTTTCTTTTGTGTGTTGTTTGTGGGTGTATAGCTTCCTGTTTATGTGGTACCCGGAGTTTTTATTTGTGTTTATTTGTGTTTGGGATTTATGATTATTTCAAAGGCACAATACATCAGTCCCAATTTAATTTACAGGGCTTTTAATATATAGAATAATGCAAGATGATAGCTAAACATAAGTTATTCATGTTCATTAATGCTGTAAAAAGTTGGAGTAAATGATTAGCCGTAGTTAAAATAGTATATTAGTAGTAGAAAATTATGTTATTTTTAATCATTGTCTCTTGACAAACTTCAACAGACGAAAGCAAATGTGTATTCGGAAAATTGTTCATATTGGCCCTTTAACACAAATATTATTGTAAGTCTTTTTATCAGACCAAATGCAACCTTTGTTTGGCACTGTACCTTCTAGTAAGCCCCATGTCTGCTCTTCATCTCCCCCTTGTTTCTGTAGGAAGCCCCTGCCAGCCCTTCGGTTCTAGAGCATCCCATGAAATCTCTCCTGGACAACCACGAGCGCCACATTTCCCAATCCGTGTATGAAAGCATCGAAGGCTTGGAGCCGCTGGCTAATACGATCGGACGCATTGGTGAGTGACATATCAGTGAGGTTCTTTCACCCTCCCTCTCTGCACCTTAGTGTCTCTTTCAACTTCTGACAGACTCGGCAAATTGGATTTTTCTTTTTTTTTTGCCAGTCACTCCCCATTCAAATTGATGGGAAGTGTGGTCGACCTGCTAACCTGCTCATTGGATATATTTTGCCCTTACATTGGTGCTGTCTGTAAACTGACATCCCCTGATACATTTTAGCATTCACCCCAGCCCCTCTGCTAGCTCCTTCCCTTAAACCCCCAACCAGCATCACCTTCAAAGCCTCATCCCCCCCCCCCTCATCGCTCTGCATCCCAAGGTGCGCTATTTCACTATTCAAACCTGTCAGGGATTAACGTCACCCCCGATGCTCCCGGCCTTCACTCCACTACTGACTGATTTCACTCGGGTCAATTTCCATTGCACCCAGCTGACATCAGCGGGCTAAGATCTCGCCTCTTCAGGTGTATTAGAATTGGCAATTCAATCCTCGGTTAGCCGCTGCTGTCATCTCAACATCGACGTTATCTTTTCGCACATGCACGCGTGCGTGGAGGTGATTGCATCAGTGTGGGAAGGGGTGTGTTTGTAGGGGGGTGATGCAGTGCACTAGTGGCCCCTTTTTTTTCAACACACACAGTAGGTTCTCATGCACTTGTTTTCTCGTCTTCCCTTCCTATCCCCTTATCTCCTATTTTCTTTCTCCTCCTTTTTTTTCTCCCAACTGTCTCCCAGGTTCCTCTTTCACCTGCCAGCCTGTCTAAGTTCTCCTCTCCTCGGATGGAGTGAATTTGTAATCCGTCGATGATCTACACTTTCTGCCCTTCTCCCATTCATTCTCCCGTTTCTCTCCGATCCCCTCCCCACCGTCTCCCCCAGAGCGGTGCCACTCTGCCACTGATCATAGAAGATCTGAGGCTGTGTCAGAGGCATCTGATGGTTAATTAAGCCTCCAGATCAATAGGGCTTGCCCCTGACACTCTCTCTCCCACTGTCTCCGTCTCCCCTTCTCTTTTTTCAGCCTTTCATCGCGTTTTTCTCCTCCATCCCAAATCAAATATGCTCCAATTGGTTTGGGTTTTCCTCTCAGTTTGGCTTATTCATTCCACTGGCTTTTTTAAAAAAAAAAAATTTTGACGCAGGCCTTTTTCCAGAACGGCGCTGTGATCATAAGCGGCAACTGTGGGCGCGCTGATGGAAAAGTTTCTTGCCATTGAAACTTCAAGGGCGCCCAGCACTCATTTCATCCTGCGGAGTGGGTGTCAAATGAGCCAAGTGGAAAAGTTTTAGGGGTGGGGGCGGAGTGGGTGCTAAAGCGGTGAGTTATCACAGCGGAAGCTCGGCGGAGTCTCAGATCTTTGACGTTGCTTGTCTCGCAGCAAGAAAGCGTCAGTTCTTTTTCTTCTCGGTCTCGAGGCTGTCTCCGAGTCGCGGCCTCATTAACCCGTGCCCACATTCTGTGACGGGTCTTCATCTTTCTGAATTGACACAATTATGTTATTTAAATTTCTGATGCAGTCAGAGTAGCAACACACACACAACACTGCCACACTGAGGTACAAATCGACACCTGAGAAGTAGAATCAGGAATTTGCTGCTACCAAGGGTCGGTCGAATGTTTTGCATTTTGCAATTACTGCATATCCAATCCTCCGAAAATGCAGAAGATGTATTTTGTCCCCCCCCAGAATGCATTAAAGCACGCTGGGTATACAAGAAGAAGGTCTCTGTCTTCTGCCGCCAAGCAAGTGGCAACGACCTTGCGTCTCAGTCACCACACGGAGCTAAGATCTAGTTAACTTTGATCAAATGTCCCAACATTTACTTTGAAAGGCAAATAGCATCAGCATTCATATTCATCAACATGTGAATTGTTTTTTTTTTTCATTTCTAAATGTAACCGAAATGTCAGTGTACTACACTTACCCACTTTAGTTTGAATTAAGGCAATACATAAGCAGACAAAATGTTCTGTGAAATGTACATTTCTGCAGGCTAGAAAGATAGTAGCTGCTCGCTCTCTCTATCTTCTCCTATATGTTATTTCAGACGGGCTCAGACATATTGCCTGGTGTGTGAGATGTGACAGTAATGGTTAGAGGACAGATGCTGGGATCAGTTGGGCAAGGTCAGGAAGCACACAGCCACCAGGGCTTGACTGACAGCACGATGCGGAGTGTATCTAGACCTGCTAAATTACTGAATCGAGAAAGCCAGACATGTGCTGTCTGGGATATATGGCAGGCCATAGATACAGCACAGCACAGCACGTACTGAAGTTGCGCGCACAGTGGCACACTCACGTACAACCTCTCCATCAGGTTAGGCTCAGTTTCCACTGATCCACTGAATTCTCTAACCAAATCAGTTCCTCTCCTCTGCTCCATTATGCTGCCTGTGCTGCTGTAAGTGGACCAAAGCACAGAGGCAAAAGGGATGGAATGGTTTTGCTGCTCAAGAATTAAGAACTGGCTTTGATCGTGAGTTATAGCAGATGGCAGCAAGTCAATACAGTGAAATTGTAAACTACTATTTCTGCCAAACTATCAATGTGATGCTACGCTGTCTATTTCCTGTTAAAAAAAAAACAGCCGCAATGTCCTATGGGACGCCTTATCTCACCTCACCCAGGTATCGATCAGACACTGGACCAGCTCTTCTGCTCCCAGCAGTCACAGGTAGCTTGCTGCCTTTCTTCTGAAGCAGTGAGAACAGGTATTGGATCTGTGGGGGCGTAGGTATAATTTAATCAATTATAGGGAGTTATGATTACCATGGCAACAGCAAAGAAAAGCACCAAATGACGCTGGAGGGAGACAGGTGCTATTAAGCTGGTGTAGTACCATCATATCACATTGATTGTAAGGGTTGCTTTCATCTTCCCGGTAGTGTGTTGTGGGCTGTCATTCAGAACAATCGGCTGTGTGTGTGTGTGTGTGTGTGTGTGTGTGTGTGTGGGTGCACACGTTCAGCTCATCAATAGTCAGAGGTAATCCCACTCCCCCTTTGCCTCAGTAAACCATGCGATTCTGTGATAGTGTCAGCTTTAGCTTCACACGTGCACACACCACGCTTCATGGCATGGTGGCCGGAAGCTGAATCCACAGCTAGCAGGTGGTGAACATACAGTGCGTTCTGCTTGACTCCCTGAAAGAAAATGAGTCCCTGACACTTTTTTTTATTTTCTTCTCTTGCTTTCTTTCCCCCACCTTTTTACCCTTGAGGTGAAAGGATCGGGAATCATCAGAGATGCTTTCTCTCTCGAAAGAAGCAAAACAGAAAGAAAGGAAAGGTGAATTAACCGAATGGAAATATGGGGCTGAGTGTAATCTCCTGCGTGGACACAGTGGGGCAGTGACAGCCGAGGTTTGACGCGAAGGTCGTTAGCATCACACCCGGCTTCGCCTTCCGTCCTGTCTAATCGGAAAAGGGCCACGGGGCGCGGGGTCCACACGCTGGGGTGAAAATTGAGGCCCTCGGACTAACGCTTTCTTTGGATGTGGCTGTTTAGCCGAGTGCCTGAGTCAGAACGCGCACCCAGCACAGGCACATTAGTAAGGGGGGGGGGGCGGGAGGCGAGGCCGGAGGTGGGAACCAGGCAAGTGGACCCACGCTGTTGTCACACAGGAAAGGAGGTGTTCACAGGATGTAATGTGTGCAGTGCAGGTGACGGTGCAAAAAATCCTGTGTTTGGGCGATTTTTCCATCATTATTTATTTTAGGTTAGTTTGTTTGTGTGACTTTGGTGAACTAACTAAAGTCACACAATAACAGTAACAAGCTAACCGATACGGGTAGACTGGTAACTCCCGCATTCTGCGAGGTTGATTTACTGTTTTTTTTCAGTGGAGTCTGCTGGCTTTGGGCGGGAGCATAGATCATGGCTTCAGGTCCCTGTCGGAAATATAGACTGTGTAGCAGTTTGACAGCAGGGTAAAGCAGTGAACATGGCATATACTTTTAGTGATATTTGATCTTTTTAAGTGGGCCTTTCTTTCAGGTGGCTAAAATAGGTTTTGCTGCTGCCCCCCGTCCACAGCAATACATTGCTTTGCTCCTGTGTATTAACTCCTGTCTGCTCCTCCAAACTGGGGGCGTGCCAACCATCATTTACTGCAGGTATTACGCTGACTATGGCTAAAGTACTTTCTACAACCCCACTTCACAACACCCAAACTATCCCCTTTAAGTGGGACCGTCCTCCCAGAACTTGAACCTGCTGTCCCCTCACCTCCAGTATTTCACAGTCTGCAGACTCAACCTTTCTGTATGATCAGCCATCGGTGCAGGAGATGAGCCAAAGTGACCTCCCTTAATTTGGTGTCCAGATTGCTTGAGAGCGCTATTAGCATGCCTCAGTGAGAAAATAACAGAGGTGTAACTGTGGTACCCTTGAACTTTCCCTCTCCTTGTGCTTACTGTTCCCATTTGCTGTGGTTATTTGACCAAAAAGAGGTGTATTTGCCATACACATTTTTAACACATTCCCTTAAAACAAGTTTGAAGTACCAGCAATGTAAAAAAATGCAAAATGCAGTCATTTAGAAAATATTGTTGAAAATGCAATTTTAATGCACAAGCTCACTGAATCGGCCTATTTTTCACAGCAGACATTTTGACTTGCCACAGTAGGGAAAGCACAGGTGTCACTTATAACATTAATGATGGCTCTGTTCTATTCAAATGTGACAGTGAGCCAGCATGCACAATACCAGGACCCTGACACTGAAGCAGCTCTATAGAATAGGTCCTTTTCACAACATCCATTTTGACATGCCATAGCATGTTGATTCAAATTAATTATGGTCTCATTCTCTTAAGTTTGTCACAGCCATTCCAGTGAGCCAGCATGCACAATACCATAATTTATGTTGTGAATTACTGTGTTTACCCCCACACTTCAAAATGGCTGCTGTGAAAAGGAGCTATTGAGCTATCATTACTTTAATTCAATCTTTGTTTCATCAAGACAGTTAAAGTGAGAGACACAGAAAAA